CACACTCGGGTCTCGAACTGCTGAACTACCGACCTTCCACAGCCTGCAGTTCAGCGTCTTAACCACTTGAGCCACCGCAGCTCCTTAAGTTCTAGTTCTAGTAGGAGACTGGTTTTTCTAAGGAAACAGAACATCTCAGCTTCTGATTAATATTCTCTACGTTAATCTTCATAATCTTTTGTGCCCCATATGAATACCCATCTCCTGCCCCCTCAGCTCTCCACTCATTCCATGTCCCTGGGCTCATAAGGACCTTTCCTCATGAAACTTCATTTGTTCTTGAGTTAATAACAATCTCCCGAAGGCCTCATTAAAAAGACTGTTTCTTTTTGGTAGGACACGAGCATCTTCTTCCAAGCTGCAATGGAGAGTTTCCCAAGTGCCTGTCAACTCCGCTTTGGGCGGCAAATTGTCCCTTCCCTTGGATCAAACATAGGAAAACTGAAGTGAGGATAGAACCACAAAGGGGCTCAGACAATTTTTTGCCTGAGACAGTTCTTTGCCTACATCAACTCTCTTGTTGCCTAAGGTTGTTTCCTTTTTAAAATTTGCTTACACTGTTTTCCAGTTCTTCCTTCTTAGCCGCAATGCATTGTTTGTTCATTGAAGTTCTTTTGCTATTGGATTGAATTTTTTAAAATCAATTTTGTCATCACCCTGGATTCTCAGTGAGAAAGGCAGGCTATAAATGAAGATCATAATCATCTCGCAAATTTACCGTATAGATGCTTCCAAAGATCATTTGCAGTGGTGCAGTAAATCAGCTCCTGGTTCCTCTCTTAGTGCTTTACCATGTCCAGGGGTCATTTCCTGCAGGAGCGCACAGGAGCGGATCTCCGGCAGTAAAGAGCCCAAGGGGTGGGCACATGCAACAATCCCCGCCCCCTGCTCCCAGCAGCCCTCAGTCAGAGCAAGAAGCAGCCAGGTAAGGTGCAGAGCTTCCCCCGCCCCCCTGGTCCAAAACAGTCCAGTGGCACTTTTAAGACCAAGTTTTAATCAAGTACAAGATCTCCCTCCTCTGCTAGGACAGATCTGCACGTCCCCGTCCCCCTCAATAGCTAGCAATCCAAAACAGTCCAGTGGAACCTGAGCAGTGGGTGTTGCCTTCTGACACACTTCCGGTGATGTCAGGGGGTGTGGCATATGCAAATGAGTTATGCTAATGAGCTCCTGCACCTCTTTTTCTATGAAATGACCCCTGACCATGTCTATTTCTTTTCCATCCCTGTTGGCTACAGGAGAGGCCACCAAGGATCAAACATATACCCCTCTGACTCCCAAGTGTTTTAATTATCACTGAAGCACATACAAGGAGGTGCAACTCTTAAGAGAAGAAGAAGAGATTGGGTTTATACCCCACCCTTCACTACCTGAAGGTGTCTCAGAGTGGCTTACAAACTCCTTTTCCCTTCCCCTCCCCACAACAGACACCCTGTGAGGTAGGCGGGGCTGAGAGAGCTCTTGACAGAAACTGCTCTTTCTTCAAGAAAAGCTCTTATCAGAACTACAGCTTGGCCAAGGTCATCCAGCCAGGTGCAAGTGGAGGAGTGGGGAATCAAACCTGGTTCTCCCAGATTAGAGTCCGCGCACGTAACCACTACACCAAGCTGCCTCTTAGAACATAGGTATGAGAAAGTTAAAGACTTTAATGAAGCAAGATTAGATCTGGGTGTAAATAACAGGATAGTACATGTAGGCCCCGGTTACACGGAGCATTAGCCACGCTAGAGGGATGGAAGATAGGCGGATTTTCCGGGCGCGATCTCACCACCACATCTGGGAAGCGTAGAGCTGCCGTGGCTCACCCGAGGCTTCCCGCCGAAGACGTGCAGTAAAAAACTAGTACCTCGGAGGTACTAGTTTCTGAAAACCGCGGGGCAAGGGCGGGCATCTGATCGCGTTTCCGGTGGCCTCCGGCGCTCTCCCATGCCCCATTGCGAAAAGGTTCCCCCCCTGAAGTCTGCAGGGATGCGCACAGGCACCAAATGGGGCATGCGCATACTTCAGGTTAAAAAAACAAAACACAACCCCGTTTCCCGTGCTGCGCCGCTTCTTTGGCGTGTCGTGTGATCGGCACCTCCCCCTAACCACAGGACCTCGACGGGACCAAGAGGGGACGCCTGATTGCGCAGTTGCGCGTTATTTCGCTGTGGGGCAAACAGCCACACCTCCCCCCCACGATATCCAGCCCATGTGACCGGGGCTGTAGATTAAACATTAGGAGGAACTTCTTCATGGCAAAAGCAGGTCAACAATGGCACGGATTACCTAGGGGTGAGTGGGCTTTCTTGAGGTTTTCAAGAGGAGGCTGGACCACCATCTATGGGAACATTCCAGTTTGGTAATTCTTGCATTGATTTAGGGACTGGATTGGATGGCCTATTAGAACCCTCCAACTTCATGACTTTACAGTCCCCTTAATTTCAGCTTGAGAGTTTGCTGAGAAGCATTGAAGTTCTTTGGCTTTGGGATGCTTCATAGAACCATTATGAGATTGTGAACACTTTCCAAAATGTGGTAAGTTGCAACCTTGAGATGTATTGGTATTAATGAGATGGCTGAACATCCAAAAAATGGGGTATGCTTATGGCAGGCAACAAATGTACATAGAAATCCATGAGGGCTTGGAAAGATTAGTGATGGTAACGACCGGCTTACTCACTGATGGGTATAATGTAGGGATTTGTTATGAGAAGTTTGAGATCAACCACACATGCATTAAACATTAGTGCAGGGGTGGCCAAACTTGCTTAACGTAAGAGCCACCTAGAAGAAACATCGGATGTCTGAGAGCCACAAGACATGAACAAATATCACACACACATTTTTAATCGGAAAATATGCAGATTTGCTTTTTATTAACATAACCATGAAATAAGACTGCCAGTAAAAGGTAAAGGTTTCCCTTGCTCGAAAGCCAGTCGAGTCCGACTCTAGGGTTGCGGTGCTCATCTCTGTTTCAAAGCCGAAGAGCCAGCGCTGTCCGAAGACGTTTCCGTGGTCATGTGGCTGGCATGACTAAACACCAAGGCGCACGGAACGCTGTTACCTTCCCACCGAAGTGGTCCCTATTTATCTACTTGCAATTTCTTGCTTTCGAACTGCTAGGTTGGCAGGAGCTGGAACTGGAGACGGGGGCTCACTCCGTCATGCGGCAACTCGGGTCTCGAACTGCTGAACTACTGACCTTCCACAGCCTGCAGTTCAGCGTCTTAACCACTTGAGCCATCGCAGCTCCTAAGACTGCCAGAAATAAAAACAAAAGGGGTAAAAACAGATATCGAGGATAATATTTAAAGAGACAAATGCTTTCTCCGGCTGGGGGGCTTTGAGAACACGTTTAAAGTTAAAGTTGCTTTCTTTCTGTACTTCCCCCACCTCAAGCCTACCCAGGGAGAGGAACACTGGCTGGGGAAGGGAAGACTGATCAGGGAGGTATGCCCTCCCCTTCACTTCCCCAGCCACCCTGCTGGGAGCCGCACAATGTGTGTGAAAGAGCCGCATGTGGCTCATCTTCAGGAGGGGCCATAGCTCAATGGTAGAGCATCTGCTTGGCATGCAGAAGGTCCCAGATTCAGTCCCTGGCATCTTCAGTTAAATGGTCCACACACCTGGGTGATGTGAAAGACCTTGGTATGAGAACCTGGACAGCCGCTGCCAGTCTGAGTGACAGTACTAATTGTGATAGAAAGGTGCTCTGGTTCAGTATAGGGCAGCTTCATGTGTTCTTTTCTCCTGAGCAGAAGAAATGGTTGGATCCAGCTCCTAAACTGGCTTCTTGAATTCTGCCTGTGTTCAAAGGAAAGAAGCAGACTTTTATGCTTACAGAGTTTAATTTAACATCTCAGTCAAGATGAGCAGGTAAAGGTAAAGGTTCCCTTGCTCGAAAGCCAGTCCTGGCCCCACTGGTGGACCTCCTGATGGCAGTGGTATTTCTGGCCACTGTGTGATACAGAGTGTTGGACTGGATGGGCCATTGGCCTGATCCAACATTGGCATCTCTTATGTTCTTATGTTCTTAAATCCGACTCAAAGCCGATGAGCCAGCGCTGTCCGAAGATGTTTCCGTGGTCATGTGGCCGGCATGACTAAACACCAAGGCGCACAGAACGCTGTTACCTTCCCACCGAAGTGGTACCTATTTATCTACTTGCAATTTCTTGCTTTCAAACTGCTAGGTTGGCAGGAGCTGGAACTAGAGATGGGAGCTCACTCCGTCATGCAGCACCCGGGTCTCGAACTGCTGAACTACTGACCTTCCACAGCCTGCAGTTCAGCGTCTTAACCACTTGAGCCACCGCAACTCCAATGAGCAGGTAGCTGATGAATAAAAGGAAATACCCATCAGGTGATTGTGCCATGCTTAGATTGCCCACTGTATCATCACTCAACAAACTTGCTTGTTAGCCAGTTTTATGGTGGTTACGGTGGCTCACTAGGCCTATTGAGCCCTAGATTTCAGCCCCCACTCAACCACCAAACTTACTGGCGGGACTCTGTATCACTCTGTCTCTCTCAGCCTAATTTACCTCACAGGCTTGTTTTTAGGCTTATGTAGAGGAGTGGAGAACTATGTTCACCACACTAAGGTACTTAGAGAAAGGACAGGATAAAATATAAGGAATAACTAACAGATATTTCTTTTCTGGCACTAACATTTGCTACTCCCCCAAAATAGTGTTTTCTTAATACTTTTATTTATTTATTTTATTTATTTGTTAGACTTTTACCCCACCCTCCCGCCAAAGCGGCTCAGGGCGGCTTACAATAGTTAAAAACCAGTGTACGATTAATAGAATATCAGGTCTAAAACAATACAATCAATAAAATATCAAACTACAATTTATTAAATTTAAGATTAAGATGTGGTGGCCGTCTGTTATAAAATGCTAGTATTTATGTGGAATGGTCCCTTTTACTAAAGTGATTAATAGAACCATACATCGTGCACTACATTCTTCCTTGGTCTCTGAGCAGAACTGTTTTTAAGAACATGAAATTCAGTAGGGAGGGCAGAACTGTGGCTTCCTACGGCAGAGTTTCCACAGGCCGTCTTTCATCTCTTTGTTCCTCAGCGTGTATATGAGAGGGTTTAAGAAAGGAGTCACTGCAGTGTAGAACATGGCTACCACTCCATCAAGGGAGCCCTGAGATGCTGGCCGCAGGTAGTTATAAACCACAGGAACATAATAGATCACCACCAAGGTGATGTGGGCTGTACAAGTGGAGAAGGTACGGTGTCTCCCTTTCGAACTGGGAATCCTCAGGATGGCAGACACGATATATACATAGGATGTCAGAATCAAGAGGAAGCAGGTCATGGCTACGAACCCAATGTCCACCAACGTCACCATCTCATTGAGGGATGTGTCTGCACAGGCCAGCTTCAGCATCGCTGGGATGTCACAGAAGATGTAGGTCACCAGGATCCCTCGGCCATACGGCAGGCGAAAAGTGAGGGAGGTCTGTATCACAGAGTGCAGGGAGCCTCCAAGCCAGGTGCCAATGGCGAGACAAAAGCAAACGCGGTGGTTCATGAGAGTGCCGTAGTGCAGCGGTTTGCAAATGGCCACAAAGCGGTCAAAGGCCATCACGGTGTACAGGAAGCATTCCGTACAGCCCAGGAAGTGGAATAAGAAGAGCTGGGATACACAGCCTGCGTAGGAGATAATCCCATTGCCCTTTACCAGCCATTGGATCAGTTTGGGCACCACCACAGAGGAGACCATCATGTCCATGATAGACAGGTGGCAGAGGAACCAGTACATTGGTTTGTGCAAACGGGATTCAAGTGCTACGACTAAGAGGATCAAGCTGTTTCCAGAAAGAGACAGTGTGTACATGAGGAGGAAGAAGAAGAGCAACAGGAACTTAAGGTCTTTGGGGTACATGAATCCTAAAAGTTCAAAGTTTTCAAGCCCTGATGTTGCGTTTCCACACTCCATTCAAGCAGTACTAATCGCTGCCTCAAATCCACTAGCAATACGCTCACCCAAACTCATTGTGGCAAAGGAGCATATGGTGATATTTACTGAGTCAAGAAAATAATTTATTCATGCTCAATTAGTAATTGTAATGTAGAAGGAGTTCCAGGATAACTGGTGATTAGTTACGTTTTCTATAATAAATAATAAGTGAACAATCTCAGACAGTATCAAAATAGAGTTCCTGTCCCCAAATTCACTCCCCCTGGCTTTAGAATTCTCTTTTTTACTCTTGGAACTTACTCTATAAATTCTGACTTCTGTTTCTGACGGGTAGTTTTGTGAAACCCACTGTCCTTCAAGAGGCTTTTGAAGACAGAAAAATCCCACTGTATATTCCCAATGTCCTCTTTTTACCTACTAGATCATCACAAATAGAATGCCAGGAATTTTGATCCTAACCTAAGGCAGAATCACCTTCTGCACTTTCAGCCTGGTAGCATATGTATTGAAAATGTCAGATCCAAAATGCTAATCAGGATATTAAAATTTGTCAAAATATGCCATTTCCTGTTCCATCCTTGAGACAGAAATAGTCACCTGTTAGTTTTAAATGCTAGGATATGGGGTAATAAATAAGAGATATTTATGCAGTTTTATCCATCTTCAGTTAGTGCAGTCGATCTTGGAAGTAACTGAACAAAGCCGCGGTTCCCCACAATGACTTAGAGGGTCACCTTTTAGGGTAACAGGCAAGCCAGTCTGTCCTCAGTTGGTTCTGTCCTCATCTGGTACATATAAAAGTCAGATCTGTTATGTTTCAGTGGAGGTGAGAGATGGTCCACCAGCTGAAGGTCTTTGTAAGGACTATAATACGTATACCTTTTGATAAAGCACAGTGTCTGTTCTTGTATGTCTCATCATGCTTGAAAATGTGGCTCTTGGCTGTAATTCCTTGTACTGCACCAAAATGGTCATTGATCAGTCAACATTCTGGTCTCTAAACCTTTCAGCAAGAGATGACTCGGCTGACAATATGCAACCATGAATGCGCTGGGTGTTCAACAGGAACTCCTTCTAACTGGCATGTAACTGATGCTCGAATATGTCATGTGTTCTTCTTAAATAGAGTGTCCAAAGAATCCACTGACTTGGTATAAATAACTCTGTTCAAAGAGAAGACTTCTTGGTCTTAGAAAAACAGGTGCTCAAATACGTCTTAGAAAAACTGATGCTTGAATACGTGATGTGTTCTTCTTAAATAGCGGGCACTGTCCAAAGAATCCACTGACTTGGTATAAATAACTCTGTTCCAAGAGAAGACTTCTTTGTCTTAGAAAAGCAGGTTTTCCGATGAATATTTTCTCTCTGGTTCTGATTAATATCATCCACCTTCATCTTTATAATTACTCCTGCTTTGTGCAAATTGCCTTTACCTGTCTCTTCTGTTCTCCACTTATTTCATGGTTCTTGGTTTAGAGGGACATCAGCTCATGAGACTTCATTTGTTCTTAAAGTTAATGGCAAATTCCAGAAGGTCTCATTAAAAAGGTCTTTTCTTTTGGTGGAGCTCAAGGGAACCCTTCCAAGGTGCAATGGGAACTTTTCAAATGATCACACATTGGAAAACTGAGGTTAGGATCAATGTTCCCTCTAAGCTGTGGAGTCTTGTGAGCAAAAATTCTTCTTTGTGAGCTACTGTCATTAAAGTTGTGAGCGAGCAATTTGGTTACTGCATAGATTAGCTTGCTCTGGAGCCCTCCTTCCTGAGCTAAGGCAAAAATGTGTGAGCCGGAGGCGAAAAAACTGTGAGCTAGCTCACACTAACTCAGCTTAGAGGGAACACTGGTTAGGATGTGGCCACCTGAATACTCCACTGTTATGTATTCAGATGGACTTGAATGCATGAATGTATGTAATGGAAACATCCCATTGACTTGTAATGTTAAGCTTCGGCCTGGGCTAGGATCCTAATGTAACCAATAGGAACACTAGCCCAGGAAGTGTCATCCAATCACTTCACAGAGCGGGAACGCTTGTGATTGGATATTATGTCTTCGACCGCCCAACTCTCTGATTCCCAGTTTTTTTTTTTTACAAATTTATTTATGATTTTCCATTACAAAAAAAAGATAACAATATTTAGAATTTTCATTACAAAACCACAAAAAGCAAGCAAGCAGAAGAATAAAAACCAAATAGAAAAGTAACAATATTTTGTAAATGAAATATATTTATGGAGTTACGCATTTCCCTGATCCTTCCAGCCGCCCCACCCCCCGGTCTGCCTGCCTTGGAATCGCCGGGGTGGGTTGCTTTCCAGGCCTTCCCTCTGTAGCCAGGCACGCAGATGTTTTGGCTGTAGTGGGCATGGCCAATCTGAAGCCAGCCGGAACTCCGTTCCTGTGTGTTCCTGCCCCAAAATAGCCCTGATCTTATCAGCTTTTCAGTCGCCTGTTCTGTTTTACGGCTTGGTATTGCATTGGCTTGCATTTTTTATCCAGTGGTTTTTTAATTGTAAGCTACCTTGAGCAGAAGTCTGAAGAGGCAGCAAAGAAACAGTGCAAAGAAATGTTGGGGAGAGGGGTTCAGCTCAGGTTCACTGCAGCAGTGGTGCGTGTGGAACAGGGACATCCATCGCCTTGGACACGTTGCTGAGCCAAGCCCAGAAAGAGGGGCGGATTGGTGTCTGTTCTTTTGTGCCGAGGAAGAGGATGAATCAACCACTCATGATTCAGACCGAGTCACAGCAGGCCCATAGCCACAGCGGGGCGCCTCGGGGCCTGGCCCCCTGACTTACCACCAAGTGCCCCCCCACTTCCTATTCAGCCCCCCGACTTCCATTTTTAAATTTTATTTGTGGTGCTCACTTGGGTGTGTGTGCGGGGTGCCCCCTGACTTATTTAACGGCCCCCCGAATTTAAAAAATCCTGGCTACGGGCCTGTGTCACAGTATGTATTCCTACATCAGTGTCTCCTGGACAGGATCCAGCCACCTCCCCTGGATGCCAGTGAGAAGGCGCAGTGTACTGCTGCGCATGAAAAGACCTTGGCTTCCCAAGACTGTGAGGTGTCCCGCGTGTGAGGGTTTTGGTTGTCATTCTAGAAGGCAACAAGAATGTCCACAACACGAGCACAAACCGTAGTACTGATGAGGCCCAGTGTGGCGTAGTGGTTAAGAGTGTCAGACTAGTATCTGAGAGACCTGGGTTTGAATCCCCACTCATGCAAAACTTTGTTTTATTTCATAACACACATCACTCAGTCCAGTCCACCCAAAACACACATTTTTAAACCAGCACTTCAAAAATTGGGGAAAATAAGCACACTAAAACAGAAATGGCTTAATTTTTTTGAACTCTCTCTCATTCATAATATATATAATTATGGTCAGTTTTGCAGTAGCTATTTGACCTCTCTTGTTAGGGAACCATACACTATTATTATATTAGTAAGGTGAATCAAAATATTGATCTGAACAATAAGAACGGGAACATGGATGCTACAAACAAATGGGTTTGCAATTGGGGGAGGTGATGACTAAGGAATTTCCCTAACTGGCATATATAATTCTTTAAAGAATTTCTCCTTCACCACTCTTGTGTTCTGGGGCTGTGCCACACGATTAAAAAAACTTAATAAAATCAGCTCTAAGAAGCATTAAAGTCTAAAATTTAAGATATCAACATTCATAAAGCCAAAATATTTAACTGATTGGAAATGTAATGGCAAGATAGCATATAAAATGCAGCAGATTGCTTCCCAAATTTTTGCTTAACAGAGGCCCCTGCCACACAGCAGGGGAAAAGCCTCTTAAGGCGCGGCTTTTAAAAGCCACGCCAACGTTGACACAGCGTGGCGGGATCCCCCGGATCCCCCGGCCGAGCCGCCTTTTCTCCCCGGCGCAATCAAACGCCGGGGAGAAAACACGGCCCTAACCGGGAGCCGGCCGAACTGCGCATGTCGGAGCATGCGCAGTTTGGCTCCGGCCCGGGGTTGTGCCGGTGCAAGGACGCGCCGGCGATCAAACGCCCGGGTAGAAGCGCCGCGTCCACTTGAACCACCGAGGTAGGTGGTTCAGTTTGAGGCGCAGTTTCTCGGGAAAGGGCCAGTTCGAGGATGGAATCATGGCGCTTTACAGATGTTGTGGTGTGATCGCGCCGGTTTGACCCGCCCCCGAACTGTCCCGCTCCCGGGCCAAATCGCCTCGTGTGAACGGGACCAGAGGAGGAATTCCCTGAGCCGCGAGAAGACGGCACACTTCTGGGGTTTATCCAGCATCTCATTCCAGAGCTCCAAGGCTAATAAAGAAAAGACCCTGTTCCTTTCCGCCTGCCAGCTAACTACACTTTCTAACTGATGTCTTTAGACAAAGCTACTCTGAGTAAGGTTCTTCCACTGCTTTGAATAGAGGAGCCCAACAGAGAGAAGTCCTTTCATACGAATCCAGGTCCCAGGCTGTGAAGGGAATTAAATGTCAACACCCTGAACTGAGTCAAAGCAAGTGGCTCAACATTAGCTTTGAGTCCAGCAGCACCAAGGAGGAGGAGAGATTGGATTTATACCTCACCCTTCACTACCCAAGGGAGTCTCAGAGCGGCTTACAATCTCCTTTCTCTCCCCTTCCCACAACAGACACCCTGTGATGTAGGTGGGACTTAGACAGCTTTCAAGGACTGCTCTTGAGAGAACAGCTCTGAGAGAACTTGTGACTGACACAAGGTCACACCAGCAGCTGCATGTAAAGGAGTGGGGAATCAAATCCAGTTCTCCCAGGTTAGAGTCCACACTCCTAACCGCTACACCAAACTGGCTCTCAAGATTTTCAGGTTATGAACGTTTGAGAGTCTAAGCTTCGTTGGTCAGATACCAGATCTGATGAAGGGAGCTTTGACTCTTGAATGCTCATACCCCGAAAATCATGTTGATCTTTAAGGTGCTACTGGACTCAAATCTAGTTCTTCTACTACAGACCACCATGGAGACCCTCTGAAATTATCTGGCACAGGACTGGTGGGGAT